GTGGCCCCGCCGTTCCCCCGGCCCGCGCCCAGGCCGGGGTCTGGTGGCACCTACATTGCCACCCAGAGAACTGCGAATCAGGGTAAGAGGAACGGCCCCCCCTTATTGAGCACTCCCGGTCGGGGCCTGTTTGTCAAACTTTACATGTTCTAGCTGAATTTTCAAAAACCCTTCGAGGAGGAAGGAGGGGGAGAGTGCCCAGGATGACCTGTCCCCCACCTCTTAGAACCCAAGAATTGTGGCATCTTCGACGCTGCACCTCAGACTAAGCGGAGACCGGGTCTTTGCTCTCAGGATGGCCGGGTCGGCCTCCCAGCTCCTTGTGTTGCTGTCCTTTCTGAGTCTGCCTCAGTTTCCTCCTCTGGGAAATAGGATGAAGACCCATTGGCCTGGTACAAATTCAAATTTTTGGCTACGTCAAGTGTTCGAGAAGAGCTGATGGAAGTGTAAATGGACAAATTACATTGGCGAGCACCCTGGTAGGATCCATCAGACCTCCGACAGGGCAAGTTCATGGCTTTCTACATATGCGGCTCGCAAACAAACACGTTTGCTCACATGGGGACCTTGTACACCGGAAAGTTTCCCAGGGTGATCCTCGCCCCGACTATGTGCATGTGCTCTAATATCTTTCACTCTATTTAATTCCATTTCATTAAAGAGAAAATTGTTTGCAGCCCACTAAATTGATTTCACAACCCACTAATGGATGTTGTTGGGCAGGCTGAGAAATATTGACCTAAGAAACCCCAAGAGACACGTTCCAGGATGCTGACTGCAGCCTTGTGGGAAATGGAGAAAACTGGAAACAAGGTGGGTGTCCATCGCCAGGAGAAAGAATGAATAAGTTGTGGTAAAGTCTCACAAAGGACTCCCACACAGCAGTTCCAGTTCATTCACTATGAACTGGACACACATACCAACAGCATGAACTATGAAAACAGTGATGAGTGTCCTGGGTTGCATAGTGCCCCACCCTCACTCATTCACATCCTCTGGGACCTGTGAATGTGACCTTATTTAGAAATAGAGTTGTTGCAGGTGTAATCAAGTTTAGACAAGGTCATAAACCCAAATGACTGGGAATCTGGACACATGCACAGGTACACTCACAGGGAGAAAGCCATGTGACCACGAAGGCAGAGGTTGGAGTGATGCGTTTATAAGCCAAGGAACCCCAAGGATTGCTGGCAAATACGAGGAGCGAGGAAGAGGCCAGGAGGGTCTTCCCCTAGAGCCGTCAGAGGGAGCGTAGCCCTGCCCACACCTTGATTTTGGGTTCCAGGTCTTCAGAATTGTGAGAGCACAAATTTCTGTTGTTTAAGTCACTCAGCTTGTGATCCTTTGTTACAGCAGCCCTAGAAAATTAATATAATGGGTTTAAAAAAAAAGTGCAGAAGAATGAACACAGCACGGTACCATTTATACCAAGTTTGAAAACCTGCAAAACCAATGCTCTATATTATTTGGGGACACATATGTTTATGATAATAGTATGAAAATGTGTGTGGTGATGCTGAGCTTTAAATGCAGGATATGGACTCTGAGAGGGATACCCTGGACTTCAACAACATCATTAATGCTTTAATTTTTAAAATCTGGATCAAAAGTAATTTCATGTCTAAAATTGTTCAAAATAATATGGATGAGGGTATAGATGAAACAATATTGTTGTGATCGGATAATGTGTGCACAGATTCACCTACTATTTTGCTTAATTTTGTATGTTTGAAACATACAACGCTTTGTGTTTTAAACATTTTCTTCATATAGATCCAACATATTTATCTTAATTTTATTGCTAGGTATTTTAATGAGATAATGCTATCATAAAGCCTTTTCTTTCATTTTACTTACTAAAATTCTCAACACTTATAATAATGCTCTAATTAATACTGGATTTTTCAAGGTAAACAAACATTGTCATCTAAAAAAATAATAATAAATAAATAAATAAATAAATAAATAAATAAATATATGGATCAAGCCTGGCCTGTGTGGCTCAGTGATGCGGTTGAGCATCGACCTAGGATCCAGGAGATTGAGGTTCGACTCCCGGTCAGGGCACATGCCCGGGTTGGGGGCTCGATCCCCAGCAGGGGGGCGTGCAGGAGGCAGCTGATCAATGACTCTCATCATTGACGTTTCTCTCTCTCTCCTTCTCCCTTTCTCTTTCTGAAATCAATAAAAATATATTAAAAAAATAAAAATAAAAAATCTGGATCTAATATAGCAAAATGGTTAAGAGTTCAGATGGTTTCACGGTGAGTACAGAAGAAGTGGATTATAAGGAGAGATGCTCAGCATCATTATCAGTTAGGGGAATGCAAATCCGAGCCGCAATGAGGCCCCACTCCACACTCACTGGGATGGCCCTCAGAAAGAAGACAGACAGTAGCAAGTGCTGGAGAGGCCGTGGAGAAGCCGGAACCCCATACACTGCTGGTGGGAATGTAAAATGGTGCAGCGGCTTTGGAAGGGAGGCCGCAGTTCCTCCGAAGGTTAAACACGGAGTTACCACATGACCCAGCCATTCCACTCCTAGGTATATATATCCTAGAGAACGGAAAACATATCCACACGAAGACTTGTGAAAACACCTAAGTATTCATCAGCCGATAAACTGATAAATTAAATGCAGTATACCCATACAATGGGATACTATTCAGCCATTAAAAGAAATGAATTACTGCCCTAGCCGGTTTGGCTCAGTGGTTAGAGCGTAGGCCCATGGACTGAAGGGTCTTTGGTTCAACTCAAGTCAAGGGCACTTACCTTGGTTGCAGGCTCCATCCCTGCCCTGGTCAGGGTGCAAGCTCGGTTTCTGTTCATCCTGGGTCCAGGCACCTGCGGGAGGCAACTGCAACCAATCTATGTTTCTCTCTCACATCGACATTCCCTCCCTCCCTTCCCCTTTCTCTAAAAATCAATAAAAACATCTCCTTGGGTGAAGATTAAATAAGTATA